AAATGATATTTTTTAAAAATGAGATTATAAGAGTGAGATCCTGATTCCATAGGACTAGTGTTTTAATAAGAAATCAGAGAGCTTGTGCTTGTTTCTCTCTCTCTCTCTCTCTCTCTCTCTCTCTCTCTCTCTCTCTCTCTCTCTCTCTGTCTCTGTCACTCTCACACCCCCCTCCACATCTCCCTTACTTTCTTTCTCCCCCTCTCCCCCTTTCCCCCTCTTCCCCTCTCCCTGTCTCCTCCCCTCCTCCTCTCCTTATCTCTTCCTCTCTCCCCTGGCTCTTTCCTTCAGCATAGAAAAAAGGCCATGAAAAGACTTAATAAGAAGACAGCTGTCTACAAGCCAAAGAAAGAACCCTCACCAGAAACCAGATTTGCCAGCAACTTGATCATGGACCTTAGATTGTGAGAAATAAGTTCCTATTGTTCAAGTCACTTAGTCTGTAGTGTTTTGTTACTGCAGCCCAAGCAGATTAATACCCTTCTAACCATTGTTTAAATTTTGGGGGAATTTGTTACAAAGGAGATGGGCTGTCCTATATTTGAGAATTTGATTCAACTAAGACCTCATTTCTGATCAATAATTGAAGATCACTACCAAAAATGGTATTTAATTGCAAGGCCATGTTCAGGGGTTACAACCTCCTTCAACTAACTGTGGTTGACTACAATTAGAGCAATACCTACTCAGATAAATTTATGTGTTCCACAAAATATGGGTTACATATAACAGGACTAGAATAGTTGAGAAATATTTTCCAATATACATGTATTTAACATAATCACACAAGAAATTTCCATTTCTTTTGATTGCTTTAAATACAAGTGAGTATTCACACCTAAATTCCCGATTATGTAACTCTAGTTCAACATCCATACTCTAATTTTTTTCACCTAGTTGCCACAAAAAAACAATTTATACTCAAGAAGTCGCAAATGAAACAATTTATAATACCTCCGTCCCATATTTCCACATTTTCTATCTTATTTAGTGGGATTCACCCAGAAACCAAAACCAAAAACCTGAGCTATATCTGCATCACTTCTTTCTATATCTGCATCACTTTATCCTTTCATTTAGTGAATCCGTCATCTCCTAGAAACGTGGAGTGCTCTCCTAGATAGGAAAACTAATGGTCGGATGGCACAAACTAGTCACACGAACTCATCCAGATGCAAGAGACCTAGGAAATGTGGTCTAGTTATTTTGCAAGAAGAGAAAAACATTAGTATTAGCGAGTTTTAGAAATCTCTGCCACAACTTTTATCTTCTGCAATACATGTTAAGGTTTAGATGCTATTTATGCCATTAATGGTATTAGTGGTTAATGATGCCTTTCTTTATTTTTCCATGTTGTCCTATTTTATGTATAATAAAATTAATGTACTGTTACTTTTCTTGCCTTTCTCACCTGCCATTTTAAACATTTAGTTTATAGATTATTATTGTTATTATTACATAATTTTTCTCACAACTATTTTCTCTAAATGGCTTCAATATTTATCAATTCTGAAACATTTTCAATCTTGTATTTTGGATCTTGATTCATCTTTCAGTCTTTAGTAGAAGAAGATTGTTGGATAGTTTTATCATAAAACAGAAAAACAATTAGTTGTATGTTCTCTGAACGTTTGCCTATATAAGAAAGTATTTCTGTCATTTTTGTGCATTCTCTTAATTTTTGCCTAAATAAGAGAGGTTGTTGTTTTTGCACATAAGAAGTTATCACTTAGATGTGTATGGAATTCTTGGATCAAAACATTTTCCCTCGAAACTTGTTAGCATTTTTCCATTGTATTCTAGCATTTGATGTTCCAGATAAGAAGTATGAAGTATATCTGATATTTTTCTTCTTTACAAATAATCTTTAATTCTCAGTTTAGCTTTACAATTTTATAACATTCCATGATATGTCTATGTATGGATATAATGTCACTATTTTGGACAAAATATCACTATTTTAGACTATTCAGTTTATAGACATAAGCCTTCATTTTGTGTAGAGGCTAGTAGGGCATTTTATTTCCGTAATTATTTACTGCATTTATTTTTCAAGTTAATTAGATTTTCTGTTCTTAATACATGTAATTTTGACTTTCATTGATTTCCTTGAAGTCATATTTCTCTTTGTTCTTTGATATTATACATTTTTAGCTCTACTCATTTCTGCTTTTAATGTAGATTTTATTCCACCATTGCTTTTTATGTTTCCTTGCTTTCTTTTCTTATTTAAGGTGGAACCTTTTATATCTTTGACTTCATGGCTGTCTTTTTATGATTTCAGGCATCTATTTTATAGAGTCTTCTTTTTCATAAAACCATGCCTCTTTTCTATATTGGTGAAAACCATGCAAATATTTTATACAAGTCCCACTGAAATAATATATACAAAAAATTCTACTTTTAAAGGTTCTAGGCAATATTTGTTTTTTGGTATCCAGAGGTCTTGTAACTTATGTTTTCCTCTCTAAAAAAGGAGAAATATATTCAAGCCCAGGTTTTCTCAATAGACAGGGAGGGTAAAAGAAAAAATAGTTCTAATGGCAGAAGAACTTTACTTGCCTCTCCATTCCAGCTGTTTTTATGTGAATAGCCTTCCTCTCTCAGAGGTAAAATCAAGCTCATCAGCCTTTAATTTTGCAGTGGTCTATTGAGCTGAGAATGTAGCCACTGTTTCATAGATGGTTCACTGACTTAGGAAGAGTCCATTGAAGTTTAAAGATCTTATTTGAACAATAAAGTTGCATGCTTCTATGCATGTACTGCTCTCATAACTTCTCATGTGATGACTAGGAATGCATACAAGATATATGTGTTTCTGTTACTTTTCTATGTTTGGACTCTGAACTGTAACATCTACGTGAATGAAGAAAGAGAAGTGTCGAAGCAGATGTCGGGGAAAATGAGGATAGGGCAGAAATCTGGTACTTTTTACCCAGAGATGCTGCCTGTTTCTGATCACAAGAGCCTGTATATCATGCAGTAAGACATAAACAATAAAATGGAATCACAATCTTTTCCTGTCCTCTTTGGGACAATGCTTCTGTTCTGTATCACAGGAATTGACATATGGTGTATGTACAAGAATGAACATCTAATAAGATCTCATCCAGACACTGACATATGATATTTGCTCCTCTTGAGATTGTGTGGCTAGCTGCAGTGTATTTAATGTATCTACATAGGTATATCAACTGGAACTTGATAGAAGAGATATCAGGCACATTTAATAACCCAAGCAAAATTCATTTATATGTGTTAGTAAAGTTTGAAAGCACTTCACTAATATCTTTAGGACTTGACTTTACAATCAGCCCACTCACTTAAACCAATATAACATGAAGTACAAATCTAGTATACTTTATATTATACCACAACAGCCACAAATTAATGAGTGATAATACTGTAAGCCAATAAAAAATAATTCTAATGGCAGAAGGAATTTTTGTACTCACAACACTCATGACTTTGTTGTACTTGACTAATATCATTTAGGAAATTATTAAAGGCTATAAATAGCCAGTTCCTGCCAATGAATATTAATGAACTTGTTGTATATGCTTACATTTTGTGGCATTAGAGAAAAACAATCTCGGTATCCAGAGTTTTCCAAATTAATTGTTAAAAGTCTTTCAACACAAACTCTTCTAACTATGCTGGCACACCATACCTTTTAAACTCCTTCTAGAGACAAAATGAAAGTAGTGTGTTTAGGGAAAACAAAAATTAAAACCGAGCATTCAGTCTTTATCCCAAATTCCTAAGACATTAATGTAAAGGGGTTTTTAAAAGAAACTCAAACCATTTTCAAAGCTATATTACTCTACATGGCCATATGATAGGATTGCACATATTAATAAAATTGAACTTCAATAACCATAAAAAGAAATTCCACTTTTTTCTCTCAATCCTTGAACTATTACTGCTGAAATTTTTTTGATTCATCGTCTGGCATACAATTTCAGAAGTTTGTAAGCCAACACTCCACCTGAACCTGATACAAACCAAGGTAATATAGTTTGTGCTTAAAATCTTTGAAAATAATATTGATGTCAGTTGAGTAATACACTACTTGCTACCTAAGAAAATATGACTGTTTTTATGTTCTTTTCTTAAAGAATCATTGTGGGCAGCTGATGAGAAGTAAAGTTTGGGGCACAGAATGTAGAAATCGGGTGGAAAAAGAGGAAAAAATAATAGACAATTGGGCTGAGGAATTGATGAGTTATATTTTTGAGATAGTCAATTGATTGATTTTGTCATCTTTTCAAAACTTGTCTACATTATAGAAATACATTGAACTGGGAGGAAAGGATGAGAGCCTTGATAAAAATGTAAATATTTCTCTGGTATCCTACTTAGCCAGTCATTTAGGAAAGTATGCTATGTAGTACTGCTACATTGACAGTGTGCATAAAAGGACACCTACACCTAATATAAGCATCCTTCTAGGTACCATTTAGTAAATTTTGTTACAAAGTTTAAAAAATGCCTCTAGGATCTGTGTCACACAGCTACTACAAATGCTCTTATTTGTATTAGCCTAGACCTCTCTAAGATTATACTACTTATGAGCAGAAGTTATTCCATGTGGTATATACGTTTGTGTTACTCTCTGTTTCCTTTTGTAATTGTTACATCAAAGTTTTGAAGATTAGTTGAATAATTAAAAATAGCAAAATTTAAATATTTCAAGGAAATTTTAAAAATTTATAAGACTTTTACAAGACTCATATTTCTATATAAGACTCACTGCAATTAGTTATGAGATTGGGAAAAAAACAAATTTGTTAAAAAAAAACAACAAACTGTCACCATCAGCACCACCAAAGAAATGGTTCCGAAGAGTTTGTTTTTTTTTTAACGCTTCCAAAACAAAATTTCCATAAGCTTCCTTTTATTCCATTCTAGAAATAGCTAATGGTAGAATGTATTCCCTTTTCCCCTGGGATGCTTTTAGAAGAGCCACATTTACAGTGTTCTTAATTTATTGTTAACAGCTTTTCAAGACCTACAAGGTGATGTGGAATATTATACACTTTTTTGGAGTTCTGCTTCCTCAAATGAATCTCTAAAGATCTTGCCAGATGCAAATGCTCATGTCATTGGCCACTTAAATCCAAACACAGAGTATCTGATCTTTATCTCTGTCTTCAATGGAGCCCACAGCATCAACAGTGCAGTACTGCATGCAACCACTTGCGATGGGGGTGAGTCCAGATTCTAAGGGATGCTTGGCTTCTCAGATACAAATGAAATTGATTGATTCTTGCTGGGTTTGAGATCAGTCATCCCTCCATTATAAAATTTCCGGTGTAGGAGGGAAGGGGGTCGGGGATAAAATGCTTAAGTGCTCGCTGTTGTCAAGTAGCAAATCAATAAGTGGTCCCATTGAGACAGCAGCACAAGGCTCTAATAATGGGATATTAGCCCAGTTTGTTCCTGTTCTTTTCAGTGTATGCTTATTTTGGAGCTGAGTTCACATCAATAAATGGTGACATTTAGAAAAATTTTTTTTAAGATTTGCTCTCAGAAGCAGTATGTTTTTCAAAATGACAGCCAAACACAGTGAGGGCCCTCCCTGAGTCACCAGAAATGGTAGGTGGAAGTTCAGCCACTGAGAAAAATTGCCTGTGACTCATTTCTAAGCCAGTTAGCAAGAGGGAGGAAATAAGGGAAGCAACTTGTGAATCTGAAATGTGTTTGGAATGGTCTTTCTAATCTTTTTGGCTTTATAAAGTCTCATTATAAACATTATAATATCATTACCTCCCAAGCAAGTGTTCCAGGTCATTAGCAGAGCTCTTTAAATGTGGAACCCATTTCCCTTTGTGATGCCAAAGGTCGGCACCTTTTGTTTATAAAATAGGATGGATCACAAGGACAATTTTTCAACTAGTTGAGATGGGTTCTTATGATAAAAATAGGTCTTTGCATAGTTATTCTGACATGCTTGAGTAATTGTGTAATTTAACGCTAAGCAAGATTTTTTCTTGTGTTAGATTTCATCATTACCTATGGTAATCAACATTCAAAATCATTTACATAATGACAATATTGCATTATTGCTTCATATTGCTTGAGTTACAAGCTAGTAACATCAAATGATTTTTCACGTTCCACCAGCTTCAATGTATTCGAGTTTTATTTTTTTGCTTAAGGAGCAAATTTTCTTTCCTTTCCTCCCTGTTCCCCACCTGGGAGATATGAAGTGAAGGGATTGGAAAAAAGACAAATAATAGATATGTATTAGTGGTGCAGATGGGTGAATAATTTATCATCATATCCCACTGGTCACATAGTATTGAAGATTAGCACTACGCTGGTGGTATAAAGCATTTTACCACCAATTCTTATGGTTTCTAACTGAGAGTATAATAAGCCAATTTACAGAGGACTACAGACTCTGATAACTTCATCAGAGAAAAGCAGATAAGAAATGAACCCTTTGCTAAACCTAAATACTAATCTGCATTTAGTTTAACAAGTGCTTTTTCAGAGACAGCTGGAGTTTATTCAGTCTCTTCCTTTAATTCTAGAGCCTCAGGGCATGTTTCCTCCAGAGGTTGTCATCATCAACAGTACAGCTGTACGTGTCATCTGGACATCTCCTTCAAATCCAAATGGTGTTGTCACTGAGTATTCTATCTATGTAAATAATAAGCTCTACAAGACTGGAATGAATGTGCCTGGGTCATTTATTCTGAGAGACCTGTCTCCCTTCACTATCTATGACATTCAGGTTAGAACATTGTTTTTTGATGGTTGCACTTACAGATATGTTAAATAAAACATGCCAGGCTTTGTCTTCAAGTGGATACCTTCAGTCTTGGTTACAGATTATTTATTTGATGGGGAAGGGGAGAGAGAGAAGGGAAATTGACCAGAATTAAATGTTTGCTATAGGCAAACATGTAAATCTCTAAAGAAAAGGTAATGGTAGCATGGAAAATGATAGCAATGAAGATGGTAATGAAATTCTCACTGGCAAAATGAAGTGTATTCTAAATAAATCCTGCTGAGCAGATTACTTTCTTACTGGATCTTTTACTGATATCAAAATCAGAGTCAGCCTATGAATGTGGAGATGTCTTTCCACTATTTACTAATTTAATATCTTCAGGAAAGTTATATAACCTTACCAGGTGTCAATTTTCTCTTTTGTAATGATAATGGATTCAATAAGTCAACACGTTTTATCTACCTCTAGCATTCTGTGATTCAGAATGCAACCAGAAAACATAAGGAAAAATATTAAAAAGTTTTATCTGAAGATGAAATGAGTATATATATTCATCATTCAAAAAATGTTCAATGATCCCCACCTATGTGAGAGCAATTGTAGTTAAACTTTTTTTGCCCTTGGATCTCTTTGAGAATTTAATGAAGTCAGTGCACCTTGCCTTAGAAAAATATTTACGCACCTATATGACAAAATTTAACATGCAATTTCAGAGAGTGCATTGATCACCCAAAGCCCAATTCATAGATTTTTTTTCAGGGTCTGTTGACTTTAAAAGTACAAAAAAATATAGGAAATACTAAGGCATATAAAACTAGCAACTCATCCTAAAGAAACTGGAAATTTTATTAGAGTACTAATGTATAAAAGATAACAAGGCCACATGTGCAAATAAGTGATAAAAACAGAGTATTTCAGAAGCGCAACACTTAGAGAAAACTTAGTTTAGTAAATTCTCAAATGAACTATGCTACTTTTACAATTCATAAGCACGCCGGGCTTGGTGGCTCAGCCTGTAATCCCGCGCCTTTGGGAGGCAGAGGTGAGTGGATTGCCTGAGCCCGCAGGTTCGAGACCTGCCTGGGCAGCGAGACCTCATCTCTACAATAAATCAAAAAAAATCAGCTGGGCGTGGTAGCTCATGCCTGTAGTTCCGGCTACTCAGAAGGCTGAAGTGGAAGGATCGCCGGAGCCCAGCAGGTAGAGGCTGTGGCGGCCGGGAGCGGCCACTGCACTCCAGACTGGGTGACTGAGTGAGACTCCAACTCAAAAAAAAATAAAAAATAAAAAAATAAAATTCATAAGCTCTTCAGAAGTAATTTTGGGAAGATTTTAAGTGCAGAAATTTTATTTGACTTCAGAACTTTTTCATTTGTTCTGTTCATTTAGTAGTGCTGCCTCTTTCAGTTTCTCATATCTTTTTCCCACATTTGAGGGTGAAATATACGTAAAACATAGCTCTAGCCAGTACTTTAGCCTCCCCCACTATGACCCGTAGACTTGGCTTCCTAAGAATACCAAATAAAAGATATTAGATGAATTAAGAAAGGTACATTGATTATTTTTTATTGTACTCCATGTTTCCCATTAACCTGAGTTATCTTAGGATGACTCATGTGTACTGGAGTTTATGTTCATGATTCTTGGAATGAGCCATGTATGCAGATAGACGATAGGTCAAATTATACAATAAAAATCATGCTAAAAATTATAATTATAACTTTTTGAATAAGGTTAGCATAGAGAGGTGATGGGAGATTTTTGACCCCTATTAGAGAAAGCTGACTGAGTTTTCAAAAGGCAGCTTATTTATTTGCTTTACCAAGACTGAAAATACAACCCGAGAATGGGAACACTGGGTTCTGTGTATATGCAGCTCAACTTTCTGACTGTGAAACAAGAGCTGACATTTAAAAGTATTTCAGGCATATTCTAGGGTGAAAGCCTGCATTCATACCTACTGGTTTGAGTCAGTGGTGGCCTGAAGAGAGTACATCACATTTTGATCAGATTTGGGACAGGGAAACAGATGAGACAAAAGACCAAAGTAGAATACAATACTTGAATTTTGTTATTAGTGATACAGTGTTCTTATTCCTGATTACTGTATATTTTTAAAGCTTTTCACAGTCCAAGAATATTATACTTGATATAGCTGTTGCATTTCTGGAAATTTGAATGTCAAATTTCAGTGATTTTTTTTTCATTATGATGTCAAAGGTGATTAGACTTTACTTAAAATAAGCATTTAAATATATGCCTAGCACTTTGGAATTAAGGTTTTTTTATGCTAACCCCTTCTGTAAAACAACTGCTGATTTTAAAGCAGATAAGGCACCCACGTATCTACTTTTTGAATAATCCTTTTATATATTCCTTTTAAAGGAAGTAATAATTTCAAATTTTTATTTAATTTTATCTATTTAATATAAATATAGTAAATCCTTATATTAGTGTTTTATTTACATCATACAATATAGTTATAGCACTAGAAATATGTCCCAAAGAAAGACATTAGTAAGGATGAAAAAATATTGGGCACATTTCTCTACTATCAAAATAAAAGTTTTTGAGAAATATGTGAATACACTTAATTAGTTTCAAGTTTAAAACTATTATTAGTTCAAGTTTAAAACTATTATATATTAGATACATAATAAATTCAGTTGAGTTCATTCTGAATTATTAAATTATGTTCTTAGAATCAAATATTTTCTAGTATGTATAAAGTTTATTGTCATTAATTCTATTTCTATTAGAGCATATATTTTAAGTTCATCTGCCTTTAATTTATGTCAGGTTTTTGGACATGGTCAGAGTAGGGGGCCTTGATGGTGTTTAAATATCTACTAAATAGTACCTCAGAAGACCATATGGCATCAATAAGTAACACAACTCATACAACATTGTAAATGTATGCTTCTACTACCATTGGGGTGTGAGCTGTCCTGTGAATAAAATGGCATATCTACTAAATTCAAGAATCACGTTTGCTTGGAATTAGTGTTAAGATTCATCAGCAACTAGCTTCCCTTCTTCATTTATGTATTTAGTGCTGAAAGTAAACTAGCACCATAAAAAGTACAGTTCCTCTTTGGTTTATCCTTTCATTGAAAACAGAATAAAGTCATTTTGTGGATGTTCCACTATCAAATTTTGCATATGCATTTATCTCTCCCCCCTCTTGCTGAATGTGTTCCCTTTGTTACTAATGCTTGATGAACCCCATTTCTAATCTTCAGTTATTTTACCTTCTTAAGTTTTTATTCAGTTTATGGCAGAATTAAAGGGATGAATGATGATTTTCTGCTGTGATTAAGGTAAAAATACAGTTGCGGTTGGAACAAATGAATTAAAATAGCTCAACCATATTGGAAGGTTTTTCTAGGCCTTGTTTTTCTTCCATTAGACATCAGCATTTAGATATTTGTGGTAAAGTGTCAAGACTTCCAGAAGATATCATCATTACACTACTTGATTATAGATTTAGTGAGAAGTATGTAGTGATAACCTATTTTGCCTACAAACTGTCACTTGGGTATCTTCCATTCCTTGATTGTGCTCTGAATAGATTAATATGCCTTTCTCTTTCTGAATGGTTGGAATCAGAGCTAAGCATCACCATGCTAATCACTTAACCAATTGTCCCAAGCCCAATTCTGTACTCACTCTAATACTGTCCCACTGAAGTCAATTAATATCAAAAATGAATATTTATTAAACTCAAGAGACTATAGAGAACTATAAGATTCATATGAAATAGGAGAGATAAGATTCAGACCATTGTCAGTTAGTATTTTGAAAATGATTGGATTTATTCTTTTCTAAACTAATGCTTGCAGGTTGAAGTCTGCACAAAATTTGCCTGTGTGAAAAGTAATGGAACCCAAATCACCACTGTGGAAGATACTCCCAGCGATATACCAACACCCAAAATTCATGACATCACTTCACGGTACAAATTTTGTGTCAGTTAATCTAAAGAATTCTGATCATAAGAAATGAAAATGAAAATCAAAGATATTCTCTCAGCCACAGTAGTCTCATTTAATATGTTGCTATGTGTGTAAATTAAATTTTTGGTATTATTTCATAGGTATTAATCTTCATTGGGCATCCAGTGACATTTAATCTTCAATTTTCCTAATTGTCCAGCCTCGTTTCCCTTATTTTGTAATCTGTGAACAAATACTGGAAATATATTAAAGAAGTTCCCTATTTAAATGTGTACTGTAGTGGATCATTTTGTGAAGCAAAATATACTTTTAATTGGAATTATTAGCTTCTATAGACATTTAATTTATTTATTTATTATTTTTTTTTGAGTTGGAGTCTCACTCTGTCGCCCAGACTGGAGTGCAGTGGCCGCTCCCGGCCACCGCAGCCTCGACCTGCTGGACTCCGGAGATCCTTCTGCCTCAGCCTTCCGAGTAGCCGGAATTACAGGCGTGTGCTACCATACCCGGCTAATTTTTTGATTTTAGTGTAAAGATGAGGTCTTGCCTGCCCAGGCGGGTCTCAAACCCGCGGGCTCAGGCAATCCACTCACCTCAGCCTTTCAAAGACGCGGGATTACAGGCTGAGCCACCGAGCCCGGTTGACATTTAATTTTTAAAATGTAGGGTACAACTCAGGATTAGGTATATAAGTGGACATCAAACAGATAAAGTTTGGGTCTCCCTTTGGTCCCCACTTTGCCTGGTTTGAGATCAAACCCTTATTGATGTTGTGCCCCCCCCACACACACTCTGCCAGTATCACACTCCCGCCAATCCCTTTCATACAGTATTATGGTAAATGTTCAGGGTCTGCTTATGAGTGAGTACATATGGCACTCGGTTCTTTGTTTCTGTGATAGATCACTGAGTATTATAGACTCTAAATCCATCCAAGTCGCTGTGAAGTCCATATGTTTGTTGTTCTTCACGGCTGCATAATAGTTCATCGTGTGTATGTTCCACATTTTTTTATCCAGTCCAGTTTCGAGGGCAGCAAAGTTCGTTCCATGTTTTTCTATTGTGAATAGTGCTGCAATTAACATGCCTGTGCAGGTATCTTTTTTGTAGAATAATTTGTGTTCCTCTGGGTATATTCCCAGTAGTGGAATTCCTGGCTCATATGTAAGGTCAATTTCTATTTCACACTACTTTCCATAAAGGTTGAACTAATTTGCATTCCCACCAGCAGTGTAGAAGCTTTTCCTTCTCTACATGCTTAGCAGTATATGTTGTTGTTTTATTAATGGTGGCCATTACCATCTGGGGTTAGGTGGTATCTCAAAGTAGTTTTGATATGCCGTTCTCTGATGATTGGTAAGACTGAGTACTTTTTCATGTTTCTGTTGGCTGCCCATTTGTCTTCTATTGAGAAGTGTCTTATTCATGTCTTTTGCCCACTTTTTAATGAGTTTGTTTGTTTTTTTCTTTCAGCACATTTGAGTTCCTTATAGATCCTGAATGTTAGGCCTTTGTCAGATATACAGTTGGCAAATATATTTTCCCATTCTGTATGCTATCTGCCTGCCCTCTTGATGGTTTCCTTTGTTTTGCAGAAGCTTTTCAGTTTAATGATGTCCCACTTGTCTATTTTATTTCTTATGGCATGGATATCTGGGGTTTTGATCAGGAATTGGTTGCCTACTCCGATTCCCATAAGGGTGTCTCCTGCGTTTTCTAAGGTTCTTATAGTTGGAGATTTTACATTTAGGTCTTTAATCCATTTAGAGTTGATTTTTGTATGGTGACAGGTAGAGGTCCTGTTTTAATCTTCTGCATGTGATCAGCCAGTTTTCCCACACTAGTTATTGAATAGGTTCTCCTCTTCCCAATGGTTGTTAGTGGAGTCTTTGTCAAAGATGAGTGGTTTAAAAATTGAGGTTTTGTTTTTGCAATCTCTAGCATGTTCCATCAGTCCATATGCCTGTTCTTGTACCAATACCAGGCTGTTTTGATTATTATAGCCTTATGGTCAAGTTTAAAGTCTGGAAGTGTGATACTTCCCACTTTGTTTATTTCGCTAAGGATTGTTTTTGGCTACTTGGAATTTCTGTATTGTCATTTCCAGGTCTGAGAAGAATGATGTTGGTAATTTAATGGGTATTGTGCTGAATCTGTAGATTTCCTTTGGTAGGATGGACATGTTAACAATGTTGATTCCTCCTACCATGAACATGGAATAATTTTCCATTTGTTTGTGTCTTCTTGTATTTCTCTGAGCAGTGTTTTATTGTTCTCATTGTAACAGGTCTTTCACTTCTCTGGTTAGGAAAATGCCAAGGTATTTCATAGCTACCTTTAACTTAATCTTTTTTTAAAAAGTGATATATATATGTCAGATTTCCCTAAAGCTAGAAATATTTGTAAAATAAATAGGAAGATGATATTTAGATAACTATTAACTGTTTTATCAGATTTTTGGTAGAATCCTTTTATTTTTCTATATCTTTTTATTGTAGAATGATAATAGTTTGGAAGTGAGTCTTTTTACAATTTATAATTAGCAATAATAATAAGATTGAGTGTTGTTTCCAGAGGCAAAAAATGAGATATTAGTTGTTCATTCCTTTACATCAAGTTGAGGCTGGAGAAAGAAAGGTCACACTCAGATTTCTGTGTCACTCAAATCAAATGAGTCACCCTTCACCTCACTACACATACACACACACACACACATACACACATATGCACACATGCATACACACACACACACACACACACACACACACACACACACACACACACACAATAATCAGTTCATTATAAAATGCTTCAGTTCTGAAGGATTCCAATATGACATATTGAAATGTCTAGGACTTAAGTCAGTTCAAAAATATATGATGTTGACAACTGGTAATTAAAATAATTATAAAAACCCAAGAAAATTGATTCTCAGCTGTTCATGGCAAAAAATCATATCTTACCTTCTTGAGTACATTTTCTATCAAACACATGATAAATACTGTTCTAATTTTTGTTGTTAGTTAATTAAAAATTCCCTCAGAAGATTACCCTCCACCTATAGACAGGATTGCCTACTATGCAGGGTGAAAATAGTCAAGTTAAATGGGCATTGGAGACCTTTATTTACTCTTTCCACAGATGTATTTGTTACTATAATGATATAAAAGACAAAAGTAATACAAAAGAACATAAGACATAATTCTAAATCTGCAAAGTTTCAGTCTACTGTAGAAGATACTCCATTACATTAATGTTTATAGAACATTGTGAAAAACACCATAATAAAGATTTACTTTGTGCAAGCAGAGAAAAATATTGAACTCTACTACCTAGGATTATCATTGAAGGCATCATGGAAGTTGTGACATCCAAATTCACTCTTTAAAAAGTCAAGGAAGAATTATAGTTATGTGGGTGGATGTTGTCAAATTCTTGTCTCCTTGCATTTCCATGACTCAAGCCCAGGAGAATGGCATAAGAGAATATGTCTTAGATTACATATTTATATGTAACTAAAAATAACCTCTAAGCTTTATAATAAATTTCATAAATGTGTCTATGTATCCACAATTTTTCCTTTAAGAAGATTCATATGGATGATAACAGAGGAAAATAATTTGTTATGATTAAAGATTATTTGTACCCAAATGTATTAACTTAATGACAAAAAGCATTGCAAAGTTTATTATAGAACAAGGAAAGAGAGGAGGCAACAACAGAAAAGATATTGCAGCACAATGTTGTAGTCCATTTTTTGTCAGAGAGAAAAATGATTTTTTTTTTATTGTTGGGTACAATTCAGGGTTAGGTATACAAATATTCATTGTGCAGTTACCCTTGTTGATGAGGTGTGCCCCCACTTTCCCGGACAGATATTGACTACTGTCAGTTCCACCTCCCTGCCCCCCCCACTCTCCCCCATCCCTACAGTTTCCTGCTACCATCAGTCCTTTTCTTATAGTATTACAGTGGTTGTTCGAGGTTCACTTATGAGTGAGAACATGTGATACTCAGTTCCTTGTTTCTGTGAGAGATCAGTCAGTATTATAAACTCTAATTCCATCCAAGTTGCTGTGAAGTTCATGATTTTGTTCTTCTTTATGACTGCAGAATATTTCATTGTGTATATGTACATTTTTTATAGAGGCCTCCTTTGATGGGCAGCACAATTGGTTCCATATTCTTGCTATTGTGATCAATGCTGCAACAAACATACACGTGCAGGTATCTTTTTCATAGAGCAATTTTGTTCTTCTGGGTATATTCCCAGTAGGGAGATTGTGAGGTCATATGAAAGGTCCATTTTTAGAACTTTTAGGAATCGCACACTGATTTCCACAGAGGCTGTACTAGTTTACACGCCCACCAACAGTGTAGAAGTGTTTCCTTTTTGCCACATCCTCTCCAGCATCTGTTATTTTTTTTGAGTTACTGATGATGGTCATTATGACTGGAGTTAAGTGGTATCTCGGTGTAGTTTTAATTTGCATCTCCGTGATGACTAGTGAGGCTGAACATTTTTTCATGTATCTGTTGGCTACTCATATGTCTCCTGTTGAGAAGTGTCTATTCATATCTTTTGCCCATTTTGTAATGGGGCTGTTTGTTTTTTTCTTTTCACATGTTTGAGTTCCTTGTAGATCCTTGATGTTAGGTCTTTGTCAGACATGGAGTTGGCAAACCTTTTTCGCAGTCTGTGGGCTATCTCCCTGCTCTCTTGATGGTTTCTTTGAGCTTACAGAAATTTTCAGTTTCATGAGGTCCCACTTGTCTATCTTATCTCTTATGGCCTGGGCTCTTTGGGTTTTTATCAGGAATTGGTTGCCAGTTCCAACTTCCATAAGAGTGTCTCCTGCATTTTCTAAGGTTCTTACCGTTTGAGGTTTTACATTTAGGTCTGTGATCTATTTAGAGTTAATTTTTGTGTATGGGGATAGGTAGGGGTCCTGTTTAAATCTTCTGTGTGTGGTCAGCCAGTTTTCTCACCACTATTTAC